TTAAGTTGAACATTAAATTGGCTATGAAATTACAGATACTCTGTAGCTTGTACACCAGTATTTTTTAGTGTACCATAAACATTTATTCAACAGTGTTACGTCGGGGAGATAGCAGATTTTCATTTCACTAGTTACCGATACCTGAACGGCAACTAAGAGTTAAGTCAGTATACTGTGACTGTTTAATAAATGCCTATTTTGTTCAATAAAATATTTCTCTATTCCAAATGGAATGAATAAGTCACCCTCTGAGAAATCCTGTGATAATAAAGACAACTTCCGAATCAGTGTCGGAGTAAAATTCCAAACAATGGCACATGGTAGTAGACTGTGTCGTCCGATCAAAGCCTTACAAATTTTTTTCATTTTTTTTTGATGCCCAGAGTATGAAAATAACTTTCTACCTGTCAGAGATCACCCAATGTGGATTTTCATCGAAATTCACTTCTTAGTTTTCTAAAGTCCAACCATGTACACCATATTATTCTTCAAATATCTCAAATTGTCTTATTCTATGAATACCTTAAAAACGTCATTTCTTCAGCTGTTCACAGTACGAAGCTTCAGGCTGTTAGCTGCTCTACATATCACGAAATAAACTCGAACAAAGCAAGAACAACAATTGTACCAGGATAATATGAGCTTATTTTTTATTATTTCGAGGATTCTTCTCAAGTGGTTACAACCTGAATGTTAAAAAATATGAACTACATTGAAGATATGAACACACTTTTCCACTATCATTAGGAGTAATTGGTAGGAATTAGTAGGAATGACGAAATGTTAGAATTTGGAATTCATGAACTGCCTGATACCAGTACCAGTCCCTACTGTGAATACTGTGGATTCTAACCACTCTCAATCTGTTAGTATGTTGCTCACGAATAGCATGTTGGTGAGTTGGATGAGTTTCACTTCAAACATACAGGATGACCAATACTGGAGGTCAAGATATCTGGTAATGAGAATAAACATCTGACAAGCAATGGGAAAACACGTATGAATAGGTGGCTGGACAAGATATGTTGCTGCGTTATTCGAATACCTGTGAATGAATGTGTGTCCAAAATCTAGTTCACTGAGTGTTTTGAATGTTCGAACGGCCTCTCGACGTGTTTCACACTGTCAGCCTTAACCGAAGGATCGTGGTTTCAGAGAAGTATTTTATCTCAGTGATTTGTTTGCCAGCTAATGAAAGTTGAGTGAGTGATTTTCAGTCCAATAGACTGAGTCGTATACTTTAATCAGTCACTTTGATTGAACGCCAGTTAGTAACTAGTGTAATGTGTCTGGTCCTTTCTTTGGTGCAGACTGAATTCTATCAGTCAGGTCTGTAGTATGGCTAACATTCTCTATAGTTCGCCATCTTGCTGCACTTCGAACTGTTTGTACTAAATGGCTGGAGATAATTAGCAGGATGCCTTGAACCTAGGTTTCGTGCTAGTTGGCACTCACCAGTCAGCAAGGCGTATCTGCAAATGTGAAGGAACTCCTGTCCCTTCTCTTATTTTTCATCGAAAAATCATAAATTAGTCTGTGATTGATGGAAACATGGCAGCTCACAAATAAGGGTATATGGATACACTACAAAGTGAGTCTCCTATCTCATGGGCATTAAAATAAGCGTACCATAACAAGTATTATATCTGTTCTTAATAAACAGGTTAAATTCCACTCATCCTACAACGAGAAATGAAAAGCATCAAAAGATTTTATTGACAAATCTATCATCTACCGAAGTAGTCGAAAATTCGTATTCAGCACTACATTCGCATCAAGTATCTAAGGTATAAAATAACAAAACAGTGGTCAATAGGCAATGCAAAAGTGGTTATCACCACTCATCTCATATGCTGATATGAAGTCCTCTGAACAAAATCTGTAATGAAGATAATACACGGAAGTTTGCAGAATGTTTCACTTGGACTTTCTATCGTGAAACGAGTGTACTCCCACACAAAATCTATTCTCGCCCGCTTTTTTGACTTTGTCTATTTATCTTAAGCGCACTTCAAGCTAGTGAGAATAATAAAACTGAGATAGTCAACAATATTCTACATTTGAAACAACTGGTTCAGAATACAATCTAGACGGACTATAAAGAGCGTTGTAAAAAATCAGGTCCTTACCTCTCTGGGAAAAGAAGTCTGAGGTAAACCTGATCCCTTGATTCGGATTAACCAGTCACCTATTACACATCTCTTGCTGTGGAAAGAAATTCACCACAGAATTCAACTATAACACCAGAAGTCAGGGAAGTCTTGTCGCAGTGGCATATTGTCAAACAGATCTACAGGCTAACGTCTTCTCATAAACATTCATAATCATTTGGAACAGAGTTCCAGTTACAATATATGGTAGTAAATCACTTACCGCCTTCACTACCCGGATCAGCGAAATTTCATTGATAATGGTCTCATTAAATCATTTGCATTCAGTTCCCATCTTTATGTATGTCACAAGAAACATACTGGCGATATACACTCCCTCTATTGAACAATATTTATGCATAAAAAGGATAAATTTATGAGTAAAATCTTTTGTCAGTATTGTTAGTTACGCCTACTGATGCTGTTATCACTATCTATGTGGCTATTGTTTATTAATTGTAATTATGCAATTCATTATATTTTACATTTCCAAACTAATATGCTTCTGATTGTCAATGGTCGTTAAGGTATATCTAATACAGTCTGTTACTCAGTAATACTGTTTTCAATGAGTCAAGATTTCACTTGTGGCTTTATTAGTCTAGGCATTATTGCTTCTTGAGGACCATGGACCCAGAAATCATTTTACTGGTTCTCACCAGGCTAATAGAATACTCGTTGGTTGGCGTATTCAACAGAGTGCTGGGCTGTTTAGTAAATGTTCTTACTGTCGCACATCTAATGCGTTCATAAAACAAAGAGGCACACCAGCTTGTTTATTTGGTTTCTAATCAAGTATACATGCATGATTCGTTTCCCCATTTCCATTAGTTGTTCTCTTCTATCTGACTGACCATGCACATGGTCCGGGTTCGATCCCCGGCCGACGGAGTCCTTTACCTCGCTAAGTCAGAAATAATTCTGGTAAAGAGGAAAGGTTGGGCATGAGGTTAGCAACCCCATTCTGTAAAAATGAACACTACCACAGAAACTTCAAGCCACTAGCTTGAAGCCTTATGTTTCACTGAGGAACGTGAAGGAATAAATAGATCTGACAATGATTAACTGCACCCTTATTAATATTATGCACTTGAGTTCCTTCGAAGAATATAGTCATATTGTGAATATAAATACCGTTTTTCTACTAATTTCTGCATTTCGGCTGTTTTTATAATGCAAAATCAGTACTACAATACTTGTTGTATTTCCTGTATGACTTTGTGCCAGAATTCCAGGAAGTATTAAGTTGATAAATCATTTTCTGATCCTACTAGAAAACACTACCGATACTAACAATAAATATTTCACGCCTACTTCTATCAATAAACTGTATCCCATTGACCACTTCAGGCTGAGCATAATCTGCTTATTATCTATTATGGAATCTGCTCTATAAATTCCAGCATATAGACAAAGCATTTTTGTTTCCGGACACTGTGCACCACTCATCGACTTACATATATAGTCACGCACCAATCACATCAATCAGTAGTGCTTTCTAACCAGATCGAAGTGATCTAGACATTCGTTTTTGGGCTGTGCTCGTAATCGGTGTATCCAGTTTGACTTAGGTCAAAGATCAGAATCACTTCAAACCAGCAGAATTTCGGATAGCCACCTAGATAAACTAGTAAAACACAGAATCACATTTGCAATTTGCCAGTTGCACAGTTCGAGGTTAGCGCTGGCCACGTAATCATGTCAATAAATCAATCAATCTACTTTGGCTTTCTTGATCGCCAACTATGGCAACAAACAGATCACACAATGTGATTTGAATACTTGTGAATCTGAAAGAAGTTGATGAGATTTCATCTCGAACTGTGTCAATTATAAATCGTCAGTTAATCTGAGAGTAGCGAATTATATTTTTCCTTTGGTTTCGTAAACCTTTTCTATCGAATACTGAATATATTTTCTTCATTTATTTATCCATAGGTCTGGCTGTCTCTTTCTTCTATGTCAAGTTTCCTCTATGCTATATACCTACCATATTTTATTGGTTTCGAAAATAAACTATCATATCTAAATTGAAAATTTCACTCACGAATCATGTCAAGCCATTTATAACTCATAACACTTTTAGAACTCTAGTTATCGATATGGTATAACGATTGTAATAGTTACCTTGAGAATGAATAAATTTTAAATAAATGCTACATACAGTATCTACCTTCGAGCTTAGTTACACTCTACCAAGTGGGTCGCTCATTCAGACAATTCACAGACAAACAGTCCCTCGTTCAGGTTACTACAAAGTGCACATACAAACTAACGTGTACTGCTCGAAGCATATACACCGTAATTTGTCACTGGATATTTAAACACACTACACAGAAACTGCCTCTGAGAAATACGAGGACTTCGAACAATGTAAGCCTTCAAGACATGGTGGAGAGTGGACAGAACTATGACATTCTAAATCATTTAAGGTATTTAATGAACAAGAGAGTCGCAGCATCTCTCGCTATACTCAAATTTTCATATAAAAGGTTTAAAATTACCAAAGAATATATGGTTTTGACAACAACCGAATAAACAGAAAGATATCACATCACGTTGCTCAAATTGTATTTCTCCCTCTGCTCGAGATCATCCAACAAAACGTACTATGCTATAATCCCTCAATCAAGAAGGGTTTCAAGATTCACCTAAATATCACTGAATAATAATAATAATGAATAATAACACACCATCCCACTCCACTTCATAGTGAAAAAACGCCAACATTCATAAAAGTATTTTTATTTCAATTTGCAAGGTTTAAATGTAGTTGACTAGATAATTAACTTGTAAAAATAATTGAAAAAGTATTTAGCAGTCATGTGAAGTAGAATCAAATATTTGTATGCAGGAGATTGGTCAAACGAAGCTTTTAGCGTTGATTGTGTAGTCCATACAAGGTCTGGTCATCTGCAAATTCACGCGCCAGTCCAACTCTCCCCCAATCACAAGCACTCTGTCTAGACTCACCATCAGAAATGTTTGTCAATTGAACATAACGCTTTGATTCCAGAAATGAATTCTATTAAATATAAAAGTACCACAACAGTCACTGTTTTTCAAGTGTTATTCAAACGGAGATGAATGAAAAGAAAACACGAAGAATGAAACTTTAATGATCCAAGAATAACTAAAAGGTGATACGATGCAGTAAAAGTTCATTTAGACTTCCCTTAACAATTTCTGTTCGCTGTGTGATCTGACACCTCGATCAGAAAGGTGAGAAAGGAAAATATTGTTTAGTTGAATCGACTCACACTGTAGACGAAGACGACAGTTACCCCTTAAATGAAATAGGAGTCGAATACTCCATCAAACTGACAACACTCTATTCACACTTCTGAAGTCCCTGATATCTTATCACAGTAATCAGTCTTCCAATCAGTTAGAGGATCATAGTATTGGTGAAGGCTCAAAGTATTATCCACTGAGGCAGATATTCGAAGTGACTGACGCATTATGAAAACTAGCCATCATTTATCTTGGGCTCTTGCGTCAATCTATAAGGTTCACAAAGTGCACTGGAAGTAGACAAGCAAACAACATGCTTCGTGAAATGGCGAAAATCCAACCGATTTCAATTTGCAATTTTGAAAACAGCTACAACAAATTTACGTTTATTACAGTGTTATGACCATACATGAAACACACGTGCATGAAACGGTAAGAGCGGATCAAGTGAATAAGATCAAATAAGATACCGACCTGAAAACACACAATCTACAAGAATGAATATCAATATTTCTGCTACCATTGTGATGCCACTTCTACACATCTATTCTTTCAAAGAAGGAAACGACTTTGCTTCTCCGTGAGGCAATCACGAAACTGACATAAAAGCTTAAAACGAAGCATTTGACCCTGGTATTTAGAAAGTTCTTTTGACACTAAACAAACTGATTCTGGTCGAATGAACATCAGTACTAGCAGGTGACACTTCATCTAAATTACTTCTCTGAAATCGTTCTTCACAAATAGGGTAAATAAGAGGTAGGCCTTACTGACATCCTAATCAGATTCGCAGCAGTTCTCCACCACTAAGAATTCCAGATATTCCTCATGCATTCATGACGTCGAAGTTATCCAGCTGATGGGATGAGACACTCAAATGTAAACTATAAATAATCATTACTGCCTGAGAAAGAAGAAACACTACAACTCAACACATTCTTTCAAATAACAAAACAACATAACCACAATATTTCAAGAAATCAATACAAAGAAAGACGTCATCATTCAATTCTACTGTAAAAACTCACAGATGTTGATCGTTTCTCCCAGAGGTAGTGATGGGAACCAAGTGTTTTATGCCTTAAAAACCTCTCACTTGTGGCGCTAATCAATCCACGGGTGATAGTTTCATCGTCACCATATCTCATAATTGATATGAATGTGTTATTCCGATGTTCCCCTGCTATCGAGTTGTAGCATCCTCGTACAAAATCCAATATAAATGTTATAGGATGTGGTGCATACATGTAGTCTAATTTGCGAAAGCTAAAACCAGATTTACACCATTCACCTCACTATCCGGACCATCACCACGGAAGCTCACCTAAAAACAAAAACAGAAGAAGTAAGCGAAACTGATTCACAATCACTCGTCGTAGAAACAGGAAAAAATTAGGTGTGCATACTCGTGCATTGGACATTTCGAAGTAAAATAAAATCGTAAGCATACTCAAACTTACAGTGGACAATTGACTGTCAGCTGATCTGAACGCCATGAAAATATGTGTGTAGTATACATTATATGGCATGGATAAAAAGGAAACTTTCACTTCATTCTCATACGTTTTATTAGATAGATAATTCACAGCTTTATAGAAGACAGAAGATTTTAATGACTTGATATTTCCTGCAATATCAGAATTATCATTACTATTATCATCCTGATTCGTGTCTAATATCACATTCTTCAGCTGGACGAGAACAAGGAGAACACAAAAAACTTTCATTTCTTACTCAGAAAGTTAAAAAATAAACTGTATATTTATCTGCTTGTATTTTCAAGTCAGTAATGAACAATGTGAAAATGACAGTTAGACATATATCAAGAGTATTTATAGTCTTCCAGTGATGATTATGAAATAAGCAAAACCAATATTCAAGGCCCAGTTGGTTATTCGTGTTTTCGTTGTTGTTGTTGTTTCATTCTATTGTTTTCATACTTTACATAAACGATTGTTACATTCTCTCTCTCTCTCCAAGTTCATTAACTGACCCTATTTGTTTTTATTATTTTTGTCCATAAAGTCATCATTTCGACTGTATGAAATTATGCTAGGAAGGTAGGGGGAGGAGAGATGGCCTCGGCTGGCGTGAGGTGGAAGTAGTAACTACGATTGTGTTACATGAATGAATGAATGAATGAATGAATGAGTGAATATTAGGTAGGTTTCTTCAATCACAAATATGTCGTCTGTCTATGCGTCTGAGTGTGCTAAAACAACTTCTATTGTTGTTGTTGTTGTTGTTGTTACAGAGTTGTATGTATTGGATTTTCAGTATTTAGGAATTTGCAGCCATAAATTCCATTCGAATCATCTGATTAAGTTTGTCTATTATTATATGTGTAAAACTTCGGCACTGTGGTATTAAGTAATTCCATATTAGTTTGTTTATTAGATGTATCACACAGTGAAACAGTATTATTTACTGGATGACACACTTCCGAACAAAATTAATTGTTCATAATCATATCAATTGTAATCACACGACTTTGAAACTTGAGTTTTATAGTTTTCTTTGTCTTCTCCTATTTGTCATAGAGGTAAGAGAATATTCCAGATATCTGGGATAGGTGTTGAATCGTTCCTATTACATGTATGTATTTTCAGTTGATTCGATAAACAAAGCTTCTGTTATCAATCTCTCCCTAAGCCCTGTGGCATCAGATTTTAAAACTGTCATCTTATCCCATCCATCCTATCGTATGGTTGTGTGTGATTGCATGTAATGCTACAGATGAACTATTCCCTAGATTTCTTATTTTATTTGGGTCAACCAATCTAGATTTTGTTACGTTTTTATGTTCGGCTAGTCAGGCTGACTGCCCCTGTTCTACTAGTTTGACCTATGTATTTGACCTGACAATCATTCAAGCAGGGTATTAGGTAAACTAAATTGTTTTCAGGATTTTCATCATGAGCTGACATTAGTTAGAGAACCATTCGAAAACCTGCACGGAGTACTGGACAACTGTCTCGTCCTAGTTTGAGACTCTTCATCAGAACGCAGCCACCGGGCTTCGAACCCAGGACCTTCTGGTTACAAGGCGAGCTCGTATACCATTCAGCCACTGGGACCCGATCCAATGGCCACTGCATGGATTCTAACTTCTACCAATTCACGACTTAGCGCGACCCCAGCCAATGTCTTCGGAGAGTATTTGTCCTCACATCCGACCTACTGCACCCTACTGGTCACGAATTCTCACTAGAACATCAGGTAACTGCATACCTGAATAGGGCGAGTCACCAGTTAGCATCTCATTGTCTTGCTTTGTTTTAAAGGCTCCACAGGATCCTTTAACCGACAAAGCTTGTTTCTAATTGAGTTTGTGGGTTTGAATGCCAGCCACTTTTATTCCTACCTTGTTAAGAATTCTGCGTAATGTTTCCGAGGTTCCTTCCTTGTATGGAATTACTACTGATGATTTAGATTCCTTATTGTTGGTATCGTCATTAATATTATTATTATCATCATCATCGCTGTTATTATTATTATCATTATTATTACTATCACTATCGCCACTATCATTATTTGTTTTACTTTTACATTCCTTACATATTTCCTGACTAATTTATCAGGGTAATTATTAATTTTCAAGGCTTCTTTTATGTGTATCACTTCCTGTCTTAGATTTTCCTTGGTACTACTAAGCTTTTGTGCTCTGTCATTTAAACATTTCACCAATCCTATTTTTACTGACATAGGATAGGATGATGATTGGAAGTCCAAATATCTGTTTGAATGTGTGGGTTTCCTGCAAACACTAGTGTTTAACTTCCCATCTTCTTTCCTTTTTACCCTGCACTCTAACACTGGAAGCTCCCCTCCCTGATTTTCCAATTCATAAGTGAATCGAATTGCCTCTACCTTCGAGTTGATGTGTTCAAAAAATCTATCTACATCTCGTGTCCTAAGTACAGTGAATGATTCAACAGCTGTCCAGTTGGATATCTGGAAAATTCTACTACCCCAACAACGACAAATAGGAGAAGACAAAGAAAACTATAAAACTCAAGTTTCAAAGTCGTGTGATTATAATTGATATGAATATGAATAATGAATGTTGTTCGAAATGTCATCTAGTAAATAATACTGTTTCACTGTATGATATATCTAGTAAACATACAATTTTTAAAAATCCAAACAAGCTTTAATGTTTAACTAAATTTCCAATGCATCTTCACACTGTTTGTTCGTAACTAACAGAGAATATGTGCCGATATTTTTAAGTTTATCATCTACTTTTTGTATTTATGTATTGCATAAACTTCTCATAATGTTTGGCATATGTGTTTTGTGCCATGAATAACAAAATTCTTTTGTGATAATAACATTTATCTCACCTAGTGACCTAAATAAACTGAATTTTTGTTTACTGGATAAATTTTTACTGTAACATAAACTTAAATTATTTGCATTTTCGCTTAAATTATTTAAACAAAAATTATCCGCGTATATTTATGTAAGTTACTTGGGAATGTCGAATGAACAGATGAATAAACCTTGTTTTGGTGGGAGTGAGCAGTAAAATGCAGGACACGTTTTTTGTCCTGTTTGGGTCTCTTCATTTGATCACACTTGTCGCCCATGCAGTAGTAGTGTCGCCATCGAGATTCAGGTCCACGTTACCAAGAAACGCATACAAACAGAATGAGGGTGATAAATTTGGCCAGGTATATTAACTGGAAAATAAAATTATGAATGAATAGAATGAATCATTTAGGGAAGATAGATGCGTGTGTAAGTAATGTAATATTAAGACACATATTAGAGATAGACGAAAATCTCAAACCGGTTGACATGGTGCATACCAGATAAGAGTTAATGTGTTTAAAAGAAACTTGCTAGTAAGTGGTATAATAAACTTTTAAAATTTTCACTTTTTCTGTCTTGGTGTAAGTAGTAATTGGCGTCAATCATTGGGTCAGACATTTTACACTTTTATAACCTTTCCACTTTCCGCGGAGTGGAATTTATGACGCTGCTTATCAGAGGACCGTACTTTGACCATACCTCACTATTTGTGTGAATACGTGAATTTTTTACTTATACATTACTTGCGATCCGAGCGAAGCACAAGACTTCAAGCTTTTAAGATATCACTAACTGCTGGGTTGCTAGCATCATGCTCAACGTCTTCTCTTTTGAGAGATTACTATAGGCCAGTAAACCAGATGAACTTTATCCGTTAATCCACAGGGTATCAAACCATTGACCACTATTACGTGATAAGAGACCATTCTTCCAGTAAACCACTGATATAAACCGTTAAGAGTCCCATTCATTTCACGAACGCCCACAAACTAAAATCCATACACCTTGAAATAATCAGACCACAAGAGGGTTTCATCATGCTGAATATTTTTCCTATCCAATTATTAATATGATAATGTACAATGAGATACATATTGTATCAATCCATAGCTTAAGGCATTTATATTAAGATAGAAATTTCAATAAAACCTTAAACATCTTACACCCATTCGCACAAAACCTCCAAGAAGCTTTTGCCTTCAGTAAGTGGTGTGTTAATAGAACTTCCATAATGTCAAGTAATAATTAGCTGAATGTGGGGTAAGTAGTCGCATTTACTACAACGGAGGCAATGCATAATCACACTAACACCATCACATTTCAATTATGAAGTCAAACACTTATTTTATATATTACTTGTGGAATAATCTTCGACTGAGTGATTTCACGATGATCTTCTTCCTACCGAAATTTACTCGTATCAAACAAACTGTAGCAAATAGGTTCAATTAATTCATGATCTTTCTCCTCAATTTTTGTGACTACATGAAAGTTGATTGTAAAAACAACAGGAACATCCATATCGGAACTTACACTGAGATAATATAGTAACGGTAGTCATCAGTCACAACAATATACAAACTCATTCCATGTTAGTTTCTTTACTAGATATATCATACAGTGAAACAGTATTATTTACTAGATGACATTTCGAACAACATTCATTATTCATATTCATATCAATTATAATCACACGACTTTGAAACTTGAGTTTTATAGTTTTCTTTGTCTTCTCCTATTTGTCGTCATTGGGGTAGTAGAATTTTCCAGATATCCTACTGGACAGCTGTTGAATCATTCACTGTACTTAGGACACGAGATGTAGATAGATTTTTTGAACACATCAACTCGAAGGTAGAGGCAATTCGATTCACTTATGAATTGGAAAATCAGGGAGGGGAGCTTCCAGTGTTAGAGTGCAGGGTAAAAAGGAAAGAAGATGGGAAGTTAAACACTAGTGTTTGCAGGAAACCCACACATTCAAACAGATATTTGGACTTCCAATCA